CACACGGTAGAAGTCGTTGCCTCTGATGGTCGAACTGTTTCTTGTGACCCTGGAGAGTAACTCTGAAATGTGGATGCCAGTTTGATTCACACAAACGACGAGTCATCTGCACGACGCAATGATGGCGAGCGTCAAGGACAACAAAACAGTCTTATAAGCATTAGCAGCGACAAATTACTAGACGGGGAATTCTTTCGTCTTGTCTAGGGCTGAGTGTCTACTAGTCACCCAGGTGGTTGCATCATGACTAATAATAAGCAATAGAGGAGCGTCAGCAACAAATGCAAAGCGACTGAAACGTTCATTCTGCCCTAGCTAAGTGTTGGCATTGCATAGGGTACGCGGCCAGGTTTTGAACTCAGGTCAGTTAATCATTAAACTAAGCCATCCACCTTAGCTACAGAGGCATCACCAATCGTTGACGGAAATAAGTCAGATATGGCGCTAATATGTCCTGACTGATCCCTTTGTCCGTAGGGTTTTCCGGGTGTGGAGCTTGAGGATCTCCACACTGTGAGGTTGTAGCTCAAGTGAAGGGTAGTGCACCCACGCGCTAAACGCACTGAAGTCATTATTTACCCCCTGCTGTTCGTCAAGAGGCTAGCTACAGTCAGTACCAGCTATTTTAAAGATCTGATTTAGGTCTGGCATGTTCCCACCTCACACCAAGTGAGAGAACAGAACTTTGTATTGTCTTTTGTAGTACCTTGATCGATTATGTCTTGACACCGAGCTCAGGCGGGAGAGAAGGGAGTGCGGCAGACGCCGTGCAAGTCTGCTACCACTATAAACTTATTCACCCACAAGTCACCGTGCCTACTCTCACCTCGCTGTGGAGCACATGGTGGACATCTTCGGCAACGACGGTCGAACTGCCAATACCTCGTTTACTGGTAGACCGCACTTTGTATTTGTTGGTGTGCGTATACATCGCAAATGGGGTGTAGGGGTGTCAGTGGTGGGTTCACGTTATGGTCGTGGTGGTCGCTCACTTGCTTGCAGGTGAGACTGCGCCTAGCTTCCACTTGCTGGAACTCAACTCTCACCTGTGGCTCCATGTAGCTGGACTCTGCTCAGCGGCCACACCACGGGCAACCGTCTCGGCCGGCTGGCTAAACCAGGTGAGGGGGCCCTGTGCGCTGTGCCGTGTGCACAGGGTTTGCGCATTCCGCTGGATGGAAGGTCGGATGGAACCTTGCGTCGGCACCGTCTTCACGTGGTTCGTCTCTGCACGCCGCTGGACAGCCGGTGACGGGATGGATCTCCACATCGACATCGCCTTGACGCGCCCACCTACGCCGTCGGAGACCGCGGCTCACGGAGAATTCGAGTCGCTCTCCACTACAACCCCAAATCGTGGCCCCATAGTGGAGTTCGGCCGTGCCACAACGGCACATGGCAGCCCTATTCAAGGATGTCCCTGCCAGCCCCCGCGAGTGGAAGGGTTTAGAAAAGGTGGCCTAAACATTGCTGGGTACAACGCCGTCTTCAGGCTAGCCAGGGCCGCACACGTCTAATCATGGTCGAAACAATCAAAATCGAAACAACAACAATACCAATAACAACAACAACCATAACATCCTCCTCATCCTACCTCTTCTTCCTCTTCCTCTGCCTATGCTTCTCCTTCGTCGCCTTCTTCTCCACCTCCTTCCCGTCGCCCCACTCGTTGTCCCCAGACTGGCACGGTGAGCCCGCTCATTCCGGCAGCCTGGAATGTTCGTTCCCTTTTAGACAATCCGAGGAGCAACCGACCGGAACGGAGGACGGCGCTAGAGGCACGAGAACTGGCGCGCTAGAAGGTGGACATCGCCGCACTTAGCCAAACCCGATTCTCCGAACAAGGCCAACTGGAGGAGGTGGGTGCCGGCTACACCTTCTTCTGGAGCGGTCGACCCAGGGCAGAGCGACGGGACGCGGGTGTCGCCTTCGCGATTCGGAACGACATCGTGGGACGACTGCCCTGTTTTTCGCAGGGCATTAGCGATCGCCTGATGAGCCTCCGCCTGTCTCTCTGGGGAGGCAAATTCGCCACCATCATCAGCGCCTACGCTCCTACGATGACCAACCCCGACGCCGTCAGAGACAAATTCTACGAGGACCTGCACGCCCTCTTGGCAACTGTGCCGAAGGCGGACAAGTTGATTGTCCTTGGCGACTTCAACGCCCGCGTCGGCACAGACCATATTGTCTGGAGAGGAGTGCTGGGTTCCCACGGTCTCCGCGGCTCAAACGACAATGGTCTGCTGCTTCTCTGCACATGCGCAGAACACCGCCTCATCCTGACGATCACCTTCTTCTGTCTGCCGGAGCGAGAGAAGGTCATCTGGAGGCATCCTCGGTCGCGCCAGTGGCACCTGCTGGACTACGTCGTCGTCCGGAGGCGAGATCAGCGGGACGTGCTGGTGACAAAGGCGATCGCGGACGCTGACGCGTGGACCGACCATCGCCTCGTCATCTCGAAGATGCGTATTCGCCTACAGCCTCGCAGGAGAACTACAAGGTAAGCGACCCCCAGGTATGCTGAATGTTGCTTTGTTGTCTTTGCCCGCTCACCGTCTTCATTTCAGCAATAAGCTAGCTCAACGGCTAGACAACCTTCCAATCGCTGCCGCCACCGACGACGCCACCGCTGCCGAGAACGCCTCCGTGGAGAACAACCGGTGTCAACTGCGAGACACGGGCCAGTCGACGGCGCTCGCCATCCTCGGTCGCGCTCCCCGCCAACACCAGGACTGGTTCGACGACAACGACGCCGCCATCAGAAACCTGCTTGCTGAGAAGAACCGCCTACACAAAGCCTACGTAGATCACCCCACTGATGCCACCAAAGCTGCATTCTACCACAGTCGCCGCCAACTTCAGCAACGACTGCGCGAGATGCAGGACGCCTGGACTGCTCGCAAAGCTGAGGAGGTCCAAGGATACGCGGACCACAACGAATGGAAGAACTTCTTCTCTGCGATCAAAGCATTCTAAGGTCCGCCGACGAAGGGCACTGCTCCTGTCTTCAGCGCCGACGACAACACCCTCCTGACTGAGGAGACGCAAATCCTACAGCGATGGGCCGAGCATATCCGAGGCGTCCTCAACCGCCCCTCCGTCATCTCCGACGCCGCCAACGAGCGCTTGCCGCAAGTGGAGACCAACGTGGACCTCGACCTCCCGCCATCTCTCCAGGAGACCATCAGGGCCGTGCAGCAGCTCTCCAGCGGGAAAGC